CTGGTGCCTGCTCTCCCTGCAGCACCCTCTGCCAGGCCGCCCGGCACATGACACCTGCCCTGCAGCGGGGCACTGCCCGGCGCCCCGGGGACGCAGCCCCCGCCCAGGCACCCACAAGGCAGCCCCAGGGCGTGGGGAGAGCGGGGTGACCTTGGGGTTTGGTTTAGGTGTGGCTCACACGGTGTACAAACGGGCACGTGCATCGCGTTTCTTTCCATCATCACAGACATGAGCTGGGACAAGCCAGGCAGCGAGGGGACTTGTGACTTCCCAGAGAAGCTGGGGTGTCTGCTCTGGCACCACTGACACACATGCCTGCCCCAGCCAACACCGGGCATGTCCCTGAAGTCGGATTTGCTCAGGTAACTCCAACATAAAGCTCCCAGGGACCCAGAGAGGCTTCAGCATGTAGCGATCAGGGGGTGAAAGTGCTCAGCCCTAGAAATAATTTTAATTTCAGCTTCATTCTCTCTTTCTTCAGCTTTCACAGCAGTGTAATGCCATTAACTTCTGCTTGATGTCACAGAGGGAAGCAGGTGCAACGGGAGTCCAAATGTAGACGAGGTTATTCTTGTGCCCATGTGTGCACAGGATCAGACCTTAGAGGGATTTGGAGAACGTGGGTCATACAAAGAAGAATAAGGAAAGATTTATTTCCCTTTGGGGTGGGAGTGTTTATGTAAGGCAGGGTTATTTAGCTAGGTTTTAGCTGACTTTACCCTTATCTTCCTTTTTTGTATGTTTTTAATAAGAAAACCCAATAAAAAATTTTAAAATGTGAAGGAGGCTTTTCCTTCTCCTTTTTGTCTTTGCCTTTTGTTTGAAAACAGCTAAAATACTGTATAATTACAAAACAAAATTCTCCTGACATAAATGACAGTTAGTATCCTTCAGAGGGTTTGAGTCTGCTGTATGCTCAGCTCCCCTGGGATGTTCTGAGTTCTTTCAACTCAAGCATCTTCAGCGGGAGCTGGGGATGTGCAGTATGTCCTAGAGCTAAAGCCAATGTGACATTAATGAGATGCTGTCATTTAATAATTGTGCTTTGTTGTCATTGCTTGTTGATTGCTGCCTTTGTGGGAAAATGCAGTATTTTTTTATTCCCAGGTTTTAGGTTCATTCCTAACTGAAATGTTTCTCCCAGTTAATTCACTAGGCTTGAACCGTGGCACTTGAGAAAATTCCCTGGCCAAGAGTTGTAGTTCCGTGGATGTAATAGAGGTCAAGAAGCTCCTGTGTAATTTAAACAACAACTCAAAATGGAGAGCAAAGTTCATGTTGCACTGTAAGTGGAAAATCAAAGTTAAGTATATTAATTTACTTGTAATGTCTGAATGGCAGTACCGTAAGACTTTCTAGTTGTTGACTGTAGGGTATAAAAGTGACTTAGAACTGAAAGCCTTAATTCTTCCTCCCAATTATTGCCTGTCTTGAGAAAATCACTAGCAGTGCTAATGAGTACATTTCCAGTTTAATACTGCTAAAATCCATTCATGCCTGTGAGCTAAGCGGAGCTACACCTAAGGGGGAAATTTTGCTATTATCATTGACAGCCGCTGTTGTCTAGAAGACAAATTGATGAGATCTGAGGAACAGCTCATACCTAGAGGTGTCAAAAAGAGAATGCCCATCTTAGCTGAACAGTGTGTATGAACAGTGATGTGAATAGTAATTATTAAATTTTGTTATAGTTCCCAAACTATAGAAATGTAAATGCACAATCCTTGAGCTCTCAGGCAAAGTTCATGCTCCAGACCATGACTCTCACTAGGACATTGGGGGAATCAGATGATTCGGAAAGTGACTGAGTTTGCTCTAGTGGCTTTGCACAGCACCAGCTGACAAAGCACCCAGAGAATAAACAGCAAAACTGTGAATCATTCATTTTGGGGGAGGAGGGAAGAGCCAATGGCATGGCACAGAGGGGGGAGGTGTGTCACCTGTGCCACCTGCCCTGTCTGCTTGACAAGCCTGTTTGCAAAAGCCAGAGGACAGGCTGTCCTCTTCGATATCACCCCAGAGTGGTGATACATCTGAATCGCTTAGCATCTTGCTTGCCTGCACTCTTCGTTCCCTGTTCCTTGTACATCTCCAGTTTGCCTTGCTTTTCCTCCTCGTATTTCCTCAGCAGCTATGACCAGCCTGAAGGAAATCTGTCGTGGCCTTCCTTTATACCCTTTGCCTGAAAACAGAGGTCGGAGGAAAGGAATACCCCATGCACCCGTGAGAATCCCTAATCTCACTGCTCAGGAGAAAAAGGTAACATGGAGTTTCACAGGGCCTCACTTCTCTTCCTTTCAGATAAACGCAGCTTGGGGCACCAGACCTGATTACTTCAAATGCTTTTCTGAGTGTGCACCTAACTTCGTGGCAAATGTATTTCCTTGGTGTTATAATTTCAGTGGGTAATGGAACAAAGTACTGGAAACTCTTCTGCTTGCTTTCTTTTTTCCTCCCCCAGAGATAAGCAGGTTGATAGGAGGGAGATCTGCTGCAAAACAGCTTCTGTGACTTTAAATGGCTAAATAAGAGGCATTAGACTTCAATGCTGTCAATCCAGCATTGTTCCTTGGAGATGACATTATGAATGCTGTTGCAAAAACACTGCATATATATCAAATACAATAAACATCAAATGTGGTGAATCAACATCATGGTACAAGCTATACATCTGTATATTTACATAAAGGATCCAAAGATAATTTATTTTAGCCAATAGTCTGAAGCGTCCTGGAATTTAGGCAAGTTTGTAGGGAGTTGAGTTAATTATTTGTCTTTAGTTGTGTAATTCTTTTCCTGTCTCTTTTTGTTTGAATAGTCTACGTACACACTAAAGTAATCATTGCATTATTTCATGTTAGAGATTTAAAAAAAATCATCAGCAGAAAATAATGGTCAATGGTGGACATCCTTAGGAATTTGCGTGGGAGAGGATAAGGTGGGTTCCTTAGTTTGAAAGTCTGTGCTTCATCACATGTAACATCACTTACAATGTGACATTCTGGTCAGAACACAGAAGTTCCTTCCCCACTAACAAGTTGCACACAACTTCCTTGCCTTCGTGGGAGTTCCCCACTGGCATCAGCAGCCAAATTCTTTCAAAGTCCACTTTCACAAGCAGAGGAGAGCCTAGTCAAAGGGTAGAAAGAGGAACAGGTGTGAGATGTCCAAAGAGGATATACTTCAATGTCAGGAGCATCATGGCTGAGGCATCTTGTCTGTGCCTGGGACAGCTCAGACACATGGAAGTGTGGCTACTAAGTGTGCATATGGGGGCTGTAGTGTGTGGTGATGGCTGTAAAGATAAGGGAGCAGGGAGTGAGTTTCACTCATCTCCATTTTATCCTTTGCCTTTGCTAAATCACTTTTCCCCATGAGACGTCTGCTATAGCATGAAGGAGTCCATGTTGCAGGAGAGAAGATGGTATCTCTCAAAAGGATGCCAAACCTTACTCTCTACCTGGGGAGAGAAAGGTAATGACAAAGTCCTCACTCCCTATATAGAAACTGGAATAGTTTCCTGCCCCCTTTAAGTGTTGCAGGGAGATGGCAGTAGACTGATTTTCTGGATCCAGTCTACTGTCTAACATCCTACCCTCATCTCTCCTTCTTATCTACCACATGTGATAAGAGATCACGCTAGTTGGGTTTTTTATTAGACTGTTAAAGATTTAAAAGCTTCCTTTCTGATTTATTTTACTCTTAATCTTTCACCTTAAACTCTTAACAGAGTTAGAGGCTCAGCTGGTATTTATTTTATATCTGAAAGGTCAAATCTCTTTTTTTTTAAGAGGTGTTCCCTGCTTAGAAAAGCATGTAGACAGACAACTATAGAAAAGTTTGTCTGTCTACAAGGTGGTTCTTAAGTCTTGAGACAAGCTTCCAGATTTTGTTGGCAATGTATAATGCTGAGCATATTGCGACGCTTGTCTTTATGTATGACACTGTGTTCATTTTCTAATTGAAGTACTCGGGGGAAGCTTTGACAGAAGTTAAGTTAATAATGCTCTGCTAATTTCCTCAGGATTTGTCCCTCTCTTCATATGCCTTCATTCCAGTTTTAGCCCTTTCTACAATAATAAACCTTAGAACTGCCAATGTTTTATTTTCTTGGGCCTCCTTTTGTGGTTATAATAGAAATCCTGTGAGATTTATAAAGTTCTGTGTGTTTTGGGGCTTGCTGAAGAGGTATATAATTCTTCCTATCATACCAACTTTAAGCTTCTTGGATAAATCAAGCTGTTTCTCAGAACTGATTCTGTTTATATGTTTCCTGAGTTCTCTACTTTGGCATTCTTTGCCTGAGGCCTGAAGCAGCCGCATCCACTCTCTTCCTCTCCACAGCTCAGGAAACCCTAGCTTTCTGTTTCTCAGCATCTGTATCTTAATGTAAATATGCTATAAAGAAAATACCTCTAAAATCTTATGCGTGGTGTGTCCTTTGCAGAACAAGGATGTTGCATACTCAATACTTACTGACATGCCGGTAAAGCTGGAGCAACTTGGGAAGAATGTGCACTTCTTGGTGTTGCTCAGAATCAGAAAAAAATAGTATGTCTTCATCCATGCAGCAGTTCCTTTACATATCTTAGAGCCAAATCATGTTACAGGCTTCCTGCTACCCCAGCATGATCATCTGTTACCTGATTGCAGTGTCATTTGTGTCTGTCATAGGCCCTGAGGTCAGTAATGGGCCTTGATGACCTTGACAAGCCTCACCTGAGATCTCCACCCATGTCCTCTGCCCATAGGCTTAGGGGCTCCATTTAAGCTCAGGCCTGGGACTTTAATCTTAGTTATGTTGGAGATGTGTCTGTCTCTAGTTCTGTCACAGGGTGTCCCAGTGCCCAGCCATGGACCTCATTTATCTGGTCCCCAACCTGTGGGCTGACTTGCCACTATGAAAGTTCTTGGTGATTTCTGGGCCCAATCTCTCTGTGGTAACCATCACCAGACCTGATCCTGAGTTGCACTCCTAGCTTGGCCCCAGACCTGCACATCACCATGATCTTGCCTGATGACCTGGACTCCTTGTGGAACCTGGCTGCCATCCCTGGGCTGCCCTGCTCACCTCTCAGGTACTATGAGGCTGGACCCTGGCTGGTGAGGTGCTTGTCCTGCTGGCTGTGTTACCCTGACTCCCTATCCCTTAGGATAGGGCCTTGCTGCTTCATGACATCCTAGTACAAAAAGCTGAAAACCAGAGTCTGTGAAGTTGCATAGCACCTGAAGTTCTTGTTGAACTTTCTGGAGAAGCAGGACATTTGACCTTAATGGTTGCCTTACGATCCAGGAATGAGGCCACTTTTAAAAGTTTATATGTGGATTGGGAAGGCCAACCTGTTGGCTCCTATTCTGGAATGTCTAGATGATAAAGAACTTGGTTAAACTTTCAGAGCCCATGGGGCATTCATAGCAATGGCCAGTCAGAAATCACCATGTATACTTCCCAACTGAGCTGATCTAAACTGGGACCTAGCAGGAAGAGTAATACATGAAACAACCATCTTGCTTTTACAGTTGCTGCTTAGAGAATAGTGCCAGCAAAGATTCTGGGCCTGGATATCATCAGGCAGAAGAGGACAAGTGGGAGGCAAGCAACATCTCCACTGGGAAAGGGCAGAACTAAGAATGAAACTGTTGCAGAGTTCAGCTAGTCACTTCATGCTTCCCTTCCCCTCAGTAAACAGGGAGACTGCAAATCTTAGTGTTTAAGTGTCTCAAGATCCTTAAATTGGAAGTCCTGATGATGGTGTTAGAAAAGGGAAATGAATGTCATTCCTTCTGAAGAGGCACTGGTTCTTAAACAAACACCAATTAACAAAGAGGCTAGTATTCTTGATTTCTCAAGAGAATCTCACAACAAAGATATTTACAGCTGATCAATTGGAGCAGGGTTTCATGGGTTCTTTTGACTACATTTTCTTCATATTGAGAGGTCTGAATTTTGATTAAATGGCAGCAGAATCATGTTTTGCTGTAAAAATGCTAGTGAATACAAAAAAAGTACTAGTGACTAGAGCTTAAACCAAGAATCAAATGTTAGATCCAGATGGCAGATCTAAGAGGAATACTTTGCATCTGATGCTTGTATTGCACTGAGCTGAACTGAATCAGTAACTCGGCAAATTCAGAGTGGGTTTTTTAAAACAACCTATCAGGCTCAGGAGTGTAAGTGCAATTGATTTTTTTTTTTTTTTTTTTAAGACACCAGTGAGCTCTGGACCTGGTTTTTCAGAGGTGCTGAGCACGTGCAGCTTAAGCTTCTGTCAGTGGAAGTTATGAACAGGAAGAACACCTAAATATCAAATGCACAATGTCTAATATTCAGAATGCAATGTGTCAGTTATAGGTAAAAATCAATCCTACTTAAAGGTCAGAATAATGTTTTATACGGTGCTTTAATGAAATGTAAGGAATAATGGCCTTGTATTACCTTTCCACAAAAGCATGATGAACAGTCTATTTGAATTTGCTCCTTGAGTGCCTTTCTCAGGTTATTCAGTTTATGACTCAATAATGAATATGCAAAATTATTCCTGATGCACATGGCAATTGCCCTTTCATAAAGCAGTCAGGCTCCATCTAAGCAATTTTAAGTGCCCTAGCTCTCCTATTGAGAGACTGTTTCAGAATCTCTTATATTTAAATTCTTCTGATTTCAAGAGTACATTTTTTATGGCTAATTCACAGCTGTTTATTCCTCTTCCAGCATTTTCCTGAAGCTCCTTCCTGCTTTGACATTTATCCTTCAGCGAGACAGCAATCAAATGTCACCTTTGTTCAGTTAAGCTAAACAAGCCCCAGTCTTAGTCCTCTTTCATAAGATCAGCTCTCTATTGTCTGTGTAACCAAGGTGCCCTTCCCACCCTTCATATAACATCCGAGTTCATGTTTCATTAATGTTTGCATCATCAAAATTCAGGCTTCTGCTAACGTGTAACATTAATAGGATAGAGGCTCAGTCTAAGTGAATTTATTTGAAAATCCAACCAGATTTTGCTTGCTTGTATTTTTAGGATGAAGAAAAATATTTGCCTATCAGTTTCATTATAATACAAACAATATATTGATCAAAGACTGGGTGTTCCTTGGCAGACTGGAAGCAAAACGCTCATCGTGATAGTTCTCTGCAGTTCTCATAGGCAGACAAAATGCCAAATGTGGCAATGTTTTCCTCTTGATTTTTTTGTTGCAAGGGGTGCAGGTGAATTTATTCTTACTTTAGAAATTTCTCAGATCTAGAACCCACTGTGATGGCTTCTTGATACTAAGATTGACTTTGAAAGTCCCCGCATATTTTGTCATGGTGTGGATATAGCTGGGATTTTTGTGTTTATTAATAACATGCCCTTGAAAAATGACTGCTTATCTAACTGGAGAAGAATAAGGTGGTATTTGAAGATGGAAGTTGCATTTGCTCATCTGCTAAATACGTTTTCCCCCTTGCCATTCTCTATGTGGAATGGCAAATCTAATTTGTAGGGTTTTACTGGTCTGATTCTCAGCTGGTGTAAATCAGTATAGCTTCACTGATTTGAAAGGGTCTGACCCATATGCCTGTTCAGTAGCAAGTATGCCAACAAAAACCTCTCTTAGTATGCAGCATTTTTAGATTTAGAGGTATTGTTCTTTCTGTCTGCTCTAAGGTATATGAGACCAGCATGCTCAAATGAAAGGGCTGGAGAGCTCTAGCCATAAGAGCAGACCATAGTCATGTTGAACGCAGAGGTTTATTACTGAGCGGAGGCCTTTATAGAGCTTTTCAGGACTTCTTACCAGGATAGATGGTGATGATACCTAGACTGGATGGTTCCAGGTGCCTTTGTTCTAGATACCTATTTCCTGTACTGCAGCCTACCCCTTCACTTCCTCCAGAAAATACTTGCTTCCATAACTCTTTGAACTGCTAACAGCAGGTGTTGCAAACCTGGAGTATCCTTGCTATACTCAGCCCTCTCCGAAACTGGGCTTCCCTGGTTGTTTTGTAGACTGTTGTCAGATTTGGAAGCAAACTTGATCCCTTTCTACCCTTTCCACAGCCATTAAAAAATCAGCCTAAAGAAGATGTGAAATTTCATATGATTTGTGAATCTCTTCAACTAAAAGTAATTTGGATAGTGTCGCCATTTGTCAGGGAACTTACAAGATCTTTTAGCATCTTTGCATGAAATTGGCTTTTTAAAGATTACAAAATCTTTATTCTCATTATGGTTTTGATCAAATGGAACATGGAATACAGAGACATGACTTAACAGACTGTTGCTAGAGATAGTGATTTATTTATGGTTTCTTTCATCCAAAAGGACATACTGTATTTTGCAAACCATGGGTAATGTCTTTGAAGGCAATAGGGAGTATAAGCCATGTAGTATCATCTGCAGAATTTAATTCAGTGCCTAGTAATCCTTTAGCTAATTTGGAAGTGATACATGTAGCATCAATAAAATAATGTAAACCACCACCCTCTGCAATACACTAGGATGCTAAATGTAGTGAATCTTTAATAAAACTTAGCCCAAGAACATCTTCATCTGGAAGTATGTCACATAACTCAGGGCTAAGATCCCTTTTTTGAATGGAAAGTAGAGTAGGGTCTTCAGTGTCTCTAGGAGTTCAGGGTCTCAGTCTAAGGATTTCTGAACAATTTTTTCCTTGGTAGTTCAGTGCCCCCTAGCATTGTGAGAGGGAATTCGTCGATGTCTGATATTGATAGGATTGAGCACTACTTAACAAATCTCCAAGGTCTCTCCATGCAGATTTGGAGGGGTGGGAAAGGGAGGGTTACATGTGTTCAGCAATTGAATCTACAAGGAAATATGCAGGTGGAAACACTTCAATAGGAAAGCAGGACTTGGCCTTTTAAATTATACCATCTTTGTGATAACTTAGGCAGGCTTCCAGCTGAGTCTGATTAAAGTTCAGGGCCACCCATTTACCTCCATTTCTCTTTTACTTCAATTTTTGTCTCTTTGGGGTTTTTTGGCAGCTGGCTTTGCGCAATGCCTTGCGTTATTTCCCACCTGAAATACAAAAGAAGCTGGCGCTGGAATTTGCTGAAGAACTCAGGCTGTACGGCCATATCTATATGTACAGATTCTTTCCAGATATTGAGATGAGGTAAGGACTGGGTGGTTCACGTTGTATTTGGCTGCCATTTGTTTACCAGCTTTCACTTGTGAAACTGACCTTTAAATAGTGGCGTTACTATGTCCTAATTTACCTCTTGTAGAGGTCATGTCATAACATATTAATGAAGTGCATCATCTGAATAAATCGGATGTTCTGTGTATCATTAGATAGCTGTGCTTTCATTTCCAATGAGGGATACTGCATGTTTTGGGATGCTCTTCTGTGAAGCTGCGTAATCCTTCATCCTGCAGCTTTCATCCTGTTCTCTGTCCTCATGAGAGTCCCATGGGACTAGTAGGGAGACCGTTCTGGATAAGCTGTGGCATCCAGCAGTCTCACTGCTGGAAAGCTCAGCACTACTCAACACAGAATTGTGCAAGGTTGTGTGCTTGGTAATGCCAGCTTTATCATACACAGAGATCCCAAATGCTCTGCCCCACAGCAAGTCTCAGTTTCTAGAGGCCAGTCATTACTCAGAGACCTCTGATTGCAACCTGGGCAGAAAACTTGCAGTAGTCCTGAGCTGCTGCAAGTCAAGTCTCAACTGAACCAAGAGGTAAGATCAGATGAGTGGATGGCTTGAGACCTGCTGTGAGTGGCTGGTTGTTTTCCAGTCTCACAGAGAAGGCTTTCTGGGCTTAAAAGAAAGACAGTACATTTTTCCATCATTGGAACCTGTATCTGACCCTGGTTTGTAATATGCTGTGCCTGTTGCCTGTTGATCTTGGAGCATCACTTCATTCTAGGGCTGATGGGGCTAATGTTTGTGAAGCAGAACAGTTTTAGAGAGGGCTGCCAGGGGCTAGCTGCTTTTTTTAGACTGATTGATTCCTTTTTGCATCCAGCAGGGGCCTGGTTAACGTCTATAGAGAAATCTGAATAAAGCAAGCAACTAGAAAGCACTCTGATTTCCACAGACATCCATATTTCTGTGCTGTCCACACTAGTTTGGGGTCAGCTCTTGCAGAATTCAGCTAAGGGGAGGACAACTGGAAGACTGAAAGATATTGCAGAGCTGGACTTCAGAGGACCCTAGTCCTGAACTACAGATGAGGGCACCCTCCAAGTAGGCTTGGATGAGACAGTCCACCAGCTTGTTTCCATCACTGGCATCAGTGATTCTTTGATAGCTTCAAATATTTTTTTCTTTGACCATTTCACTGATCACTCTTTCTAATAGATTCTCACAGTCTCAGATTAAGAAAATGCCTTTTGTTCTCTGTAGTCTGATAGTATTTGATTTTTGTTCTGTATGTCCCAGGGAGCACAGTCCAGCTTGGTTCTGTTCCATTTAACAGCCATGTTCCCATACCAGTACACTCAGCTGATATCTGAACTTTGGGTTTCTTATGTTCTGAGCAATATTATGTGGAAATATCTCCTCTTGATGAATTGGTATCATTCCACAGAAATCCTGTTATTTTATCACATCAAGCTTAGAAAAGCAGAAAACACTAATAAAAAAAGTATTGTGGAAAAACTCAGATGCTTTCCCTCTTGGTTTGGCAATGACTACAAGGCATTTGTTTTAGAATCCTGATGTAAAAAGCTAGGATAAAGTGCATATGATCATGGGAGGAGCCCATTCGCTAAATCTGTAGAATATACATTCCAGATCTTAGCTCATGAGCTGGTCAGCGGATGTCCAATTTTTTTTTGTAGTTGGCACTCTTTAGCCTAACCTTTTCAGTGTAACTGTCTTCCCTGTACAAAGCAAATGTCCAGCCACTGAAGATCTATGGTCCAATAAAAGGAAGATCATTTAGAAACCATGTCAAATGATCCTATCTACCTTTAGGAATTTTCAGCATCTGTAATGGTGGTGTTGCGTACAGAAAGGAAATACTTCCTTTTGGTATCATACCTTAGAGGCCTCAGCACAGTTGTTCTAAAATCTGTGCAAACACAGCAAAGTGCCCCTGCCCTGAAGAGCTACACTATAAATCTAGGACTAGAAGTTTTAGAGCAATTTGATATAAAAAACAGGTGGTGGAGGAGAAGATAACAGTGAGATGATTGCAGTGGTTGGCATTGAAGTACATTAGTGCTAGGAAATCTCACTCAGAATACCTTTGTGAGGGTTTCCCATACCTCACTTCTCAATGATGGATGAAATGCATCTTATTCAGTAAAAAGTCCCATATTTCTCCTAACTAGTTCAGTTTTTGAGAGCTTCTTTGGGACTGAAATTCAAGCTGGGTGTTTTTTCTTAGATAGGATCTTAAATAACAAGGGCTGATGAGCCTGAAGGCAACTTCCACTGATGCTGTTTTCCTTGGCATTGCAGGACTTAGCTGCTTGGCCTGGCAACTGTGTTTCAGAGGCCAGTTCCAGCATCCCAAAAATAATCCAGTTAAAAAGCAATGAGAGCTCTTGGCCACCATATTTATAACCAATTGTGATTAACTGATTCAGCAAATGATAAGCTGAATACAATTTTTTTCTTTGCTTAGTTCTGATAACAGTTAAAACCTGATTTGCCTGTTAAGGTACGTATGTAATTTCAGATCTGCGCTTTCTCCTTTTTTTTTTTTTTTTCCTTCCCTCCTGAATAAAAGCCTGCAACTCAAATGAATGTGTTGGCATGCAGGGATATTTCTGTGAGGTATGTTGTTGTGGTTGCCCTTGTGAGTCAGGGTCTCTCCCCTAAATTTTTGTGACTAACATTTCAGAGCGTACCCCATAGGAGACTACCCTTGCAAGACCAAATCAGCTGCTGCCATTATGTTGATGATCATGAATAATCTGGATCCCTCAGTGGCTCAGGTAAGGTACAGTGAAAATAAGGAAGCTGGATTCATAGGGCAGCAGCAAATGTGCAAGGTACATCCTCTATGTGCTCTCACATAAAAACTGAAGAATTTAGGCATATAGGTGAAATTAATCCTTGTGCAGATGGTCCTCCATCCATGCATTGAATAGGATTTTAGTTGTTCATAGGTCTTTTGCTTGTTCTGTGCTCCAAGGTACATGGCAGTCCCTGTACATGTAGAGCTGGCTGCTGTGTGTTAGCTAAGCGGGCCAATTTCAGTAGTGCCAAGGCAGCTTCCTTCTGCAGTAATGCGCTAGAATGTCCATTTCTGTGAGGCTAAGCCTGCAAGGGATTAAAGGTGATTCTATACTTGTGGTTATGTTTTGATTCCTGGGGTTTGGGGTCTTTTGTATTAAGTTCTTTAGTGTCCTGCTGTGTGCAGTGTTAATCCTGCGCAATGGGTCCTGGTCCTAACTCAGACCTCTGAGGCCTCCTACAACACCAACAAGACTCGCTTCAGCTCCCACTATATACAGGACCTTGGTCACTGTCTGTGAGATAGGTAGAGCTCAGCTCTTAGTACATTGCTTCTACAACATATGTTGAAAAATTAGTGCTGATGCTTCCTGTATCTTTGAAAGCTCGTTCCTCAAGGACAGATTTCCTGGATGATTACAGGACCAAAGCTCATCCTTACAAGCACTACCCAGTGTAATGCATCTTTTTGCAAATGGCAGGGGAGAGGCCATGCAACTGTGCCTTGCTGGTCGTAGACTCTTCCATCTGTAAATGCCAGTAGCAACCAAACTGTAAGCTCATTCACTCTCTGTTTAAGGGAGTTTACTGGGATGTCTGTTTGTTACAGAAACTGCAATCCAGGAATCACTTTGTAGCATTCTGCATCCAAAATACCGTTGTAACAATAACAAACATCTCATTTTGAAACATATTTTTTTTTTTTTCTTAAATTATCACTTTTATGATGGTATTTTCTGGTTTCAAGAATCTAGAGAGTACAATAAGCTATAGAAAAGATTTATTACTGAGATTTAAAAAATAGCTTGGAGATACAGTGAAATGTTTCAGAAAAGTGCTTGCCTTATTGTTAAATTGTCTTTTTCAGTTTCCTCAGGAGCTTGTCACTTATGGAGGAAATGGGCAGGTCTTCAGCAACTGGGCACAGGTAGGACATTGCTGCTTTTGCAACTTGTTTCACGAAACCTGTTTCACCCTCCCCCCACGCACATTCTGCTTAGGCAGTTTGTGATAATTCTTGGCAGTCGTTGTCTCAAAATACTCCAAAACATCCTGTCTGGACAGAGGAATGCTCAGTTATGAACTGCATAGATGGGGAGAGCTTTATTTAGTAAGGAGAGCACAGACAGCCCAACAGAAATACTAAACATAATACCATAAACGTACCAAGCTGTGTGTGATAATGTAAAGACCAGTTCTTTGTCTTTCTCTGATACATTTGTATGTGCCTGTGTATTTGCACAGATAATTTTAGAGTAAAATGAATTCTAGGAAACAAAAAAGTGTATCTTTTGCTTGCTTGTTTCTGGTACTTTTGCAACATTTTTCACAAGTAATGGAGTAGAAAAAAAAAGGCTTTGATTTAAGAAAGTGCAATCCTGAGTCTTTTTCCAAGCAAATCAGATTAGTTGTAAATATTTACATGCTAGCTGGCCAGATCATAGTGCACTTTACTGTCAGGCCTAGCAACATTATCCCTGATCTCCTGAGAATAATGGCAGGTGGGTAAAAGCCTGTCTAATATAGGAGCTGCGATGTTTAAGGTGTGGTTGTATAATCTATGTTCTCCTTCTCTATCCAAAAATGGCAATAAATACACTTGCTTTAATCCAAGTACTGCAAAATGCATGTGGGAAACATTTTCAGGAGATCTTTGGCATCAGCAACATATTTAGACTTCTGTTTTGTATTTATTCTCTCAAGAAAAAAAAATGCTCTGGGTCTGAATGCTCTACAGGTGTGTTGTGGCAGGAGGAACATTTAATGAACAACCATCCTGAATGTCTGTGGATAGGCACAAATGTGGTTATGGTGAATGCGAAAACCACATCATCCCTGCAGCCTCTGGTATGCCCTAAGGCCACAGAGTGGGGACAGGTGGAGATGTGGCATTGAGTTTTGCAGTGCAGACCAGAAACAGCACATGTAGAAATCTACATCACCCTGAAGGGCAGCATCACTCCTGAAGGCTGGGAAGACCTTGATTTCTGATTCTGTAGCTTACATAAGCAATAGTTGACTTAAGGAGCCAGCTTGTGTCATAAAGGATCATGTATGCACCTTGTTGTGGCTTTATCTGAATCTGGCCTCTTGCTTATTAAAAAATCCGAGCAAAGCTAACGTGTAAATGAAGTTCCTAGTTAGGGGAGAGGAATGGATTCCTCACTGTAGCATGGGACTGAGTGACCTGGGTTTTCTTCCCAGTTTGACTGTGATTTTTCATTTGTGGCTAAAAGAAAAGTCATGTTTCACCTTCCTAATCTGGTAAATGGGAGTCTTAGCCAGCTTTTGAGGCAAAACTGTTCTGACTTTTTAAAAGAAAGGTACCATGGCAATGCACACCATTTCTTTATTGTGTGTATTGATTAGTAAATGCCAGTTAACTAATGCCTGTTAACTACATGAGTTTTACAGCATTTCTGATGTGAACAGTGCCAGCGGTTTATAAAGTAGCCTTTATTGGACTGACATCCCTTAGGCAGATGCTGGGCTGCAAGGTGAAGTAGAAGCGCTGCCAAAGTCAGAAATATTTTCTTTTCTCCTGTTCTCATCCAGGCCAGAGCTATGACCTGCAGTTGTTTCACAGCAGGACAAACAAAACCTTTTTGTTTTTGCTTACTTGGAGTAGCAATCACATGAATGATTCAGTTATGACAGAACATTTTGTTCTGCTTGCAGCTTGAAAACAACATGCTTTTTTGGAAATCTATCATTGCAAAATTCCTAGTGAAAAGGTTCAGTTTGGTTTATATCATCCACGCAGACCTGTGCTTTCTTCTGAATAATTTTAAAAGAAAGAACCATGTCCAGAGCTAGCTTTACAAGCCTGCAGAGAACAAAACTGTTCTTTAAGCTAGGAAGGGCTTTTGCTTCCTTCTTAAGTAGTTGTGCCTTTCAGTGCAAAAAGATGTAACTATCTTACAGCTTCTAGTTTTATCCCAATGTTTTTCCCAGCCTGCTAAAGAGTTGAGAGTTCAGCTAGTTACCTGTTCTGTTGTAGGACCAGAATTTGATTATTCAACATTTTTTATGAAACAAAAAAAAAAAATGTAAAAAGCAAGACAGTAACTCTAGTGACTCTTACCTGTTCAACTTAACTTGCAGCTTGGGAAATTAGCTGGGTTAGAAGGGACTGGCTTCAAATCTGTACCATTTTTAATTCAGATCAAAGACACAACCACAGAGGTTAAGTGCCCATGACAACTGGTTTTGTTTATTTGTCACTGATACTGCTGTCTCTTTGATCAGCAGTTCCATTTTTTTCTCAAAACTTTGTCTCTGTGTCCCTACAGAAACTCTAGTTTCAATTGGAATTGTTGAATTCCAATATCGCATGGGAAAGCTCCTCTCAGGCCTAGTTGTCACATACTAAAAGTCCCGTGGAATATAGTCCCATTTGTGATAGACAATGATGGATCTGAGTCAAATCTATAGGCAGCTTAGATGGTCAAAGCCTACTTTTTGGCATACATCAAGAGTAACTATTGAATTATGCAGACAAAGTTGAGATGCATTTATTTGTGTACTCCTGGGTGCCTCAAGGACTTTCTTCGCTGTCCATAATGAAAGCTGAATTTTTTTCTTTGAGAAGAAAAATTATTTCATTTTTAAGTGCACATTATAATATCGATTTGTTGAAAAGATGACAAGCACTAGAAGATGCTGAATTATCCATTTCAGGTTAGGATCAACAATATGCCTGGGTATTTTAATCACTTTTGTAGAAAAGTTTGGAAAGATTGCCAGAAAAGTGCCAGATCCAAATGGTTAACCTCAAGGTAAAATTAGAACGGCTTTAAAAATGAAGGATTTCTGGGGTTTGTGCTGGAGAAATTATTCTGGAACTTATTCAGACTTTTGCTAGTTGGTGATTTATATTTCCTGCTGTGTGATATCTCTTAATGGACTCTATTAAAAGCAAGAATGTGTTGAGAGCTCTGGCTGTTATTCCATCTGTGAGTATACCTCATTATCTTTATAGCTGCCTTCATACTCGAAGTTTAGCAGCTTCACAAACAAACATAAATGTAAGATGCAAACAGTTTCCCTCACTTTCCTTGCTTTTCCTTTCAGTTCTGGTTGGTAATGCACTATTTGTCAGAGATGACTGAAGAACAAACACTAGTAATGTACAGCGGACATCCTCTGGGCCTCTTTCCCAGCCATCAGTACGCTCCTCGATTAATCATTACTAATGGCATGGTAGGTATTAGCACCTTGTTTTCTCTTTTTCCTCCTCTTCTGTTTAGTTTTCAAGTGTTTGCTGAATTAAAATATTATTTATACTACCTGAACTTACAACAGCGCACAGGAGAATCTGGGGTCCAATTTCTGCAGCATTTATTCAGTACAATCGCTCTCACCTCAAGAGTGCTGATCTGCAGTGATGGAGGGAACAATCCTCTCCTTATTAGGCGACTTCTGTTCTGACTGAGCCTGAGCTGTACATGTTCTTGACCAAAACAGTTCAGCTAGGCTCAGTTTGGAAGATTTAAAAGCCCTCAATAGGCAAACAGATGATTATTAATCAGATGCTCAGATATCTGGACTGCTTTGCTTGGAAGGCAAGCTGGACAAGTGAACATACTGGTTCATTGTCAGTCTTTTGAGCCATTCAATATCTATCTCTCTGCCGGCTAGTTTTGTGGCTACAGAACTGTTTTCCTTAAACTTACATGATAGTCACACTGCCAGAAAGACGAGACATCTTTTTTTCTAATACTAGAATGCATGGAATAAAACACCTGAATCATTCTTCCTGTTTTTCACTGTTTTTCTATGTGTGTGACCATAGTTAGAGAAATATAGGCTGTTAAAAAGATCTGTTTAAATCTCTAATTTACTTATGGGTTTGCTTTTGATTGTTTTCTTAGGTTATTCCCAACTATTCCACCAGAGATGAATATGAGAAGATGTTTGCTTTGGGAGTAACAATGTAAGAGGATACCTCACTATTAAAATATATCAAATACTTAACTAAAATGTAATTCAGACATCAAGCTGGTTAAAATTTCTAATGCAGATGGATTTCAACTGTGCTGCATAAAGTCCTGATGCTGCAAAGCATTAATGCACACTTAAGTGGAATTACTTAGGAGTTTGAGTTATGTTCAGCCACATATATAAGGATGTAATTGAGGTCTGCTAGGAATTAGTATTAGGTTTATGTGTGGGACTTGGCTGAATTACAGCCTGAAGCCTTAATCATAACCTACTTATAGCACTGGCTAGTTCCACTTTGCAGTGGTGGTTTTGCAATCTGCAGAAAACACAAGTTATGAAACATTCCTTCACACTGAGAGAAAGCTTTGAAGTAGAAAGTTATCATTTTTAAAAAATTATTATTTACCTACTTTTTTAGAATCATAGAATAGTTTGGATTGGAAGGGACCTTTAAAGGTCATCTAGTCCAACCCCCCTGCCGTGGGCAGGGACATCTTCAACTGGATCAGGTTGCTCAGAGACGCGTCCAACCTGACCTTTAAATGTTTTCAGGGATGGGGCATCTACCAC